CTGCCTAAGCCTCCCAAGTAACTGGGACTACAGGTAGCCGCCACCACGCCCGACTAATATTTTGTATTTTTAGTAGAGAGAAGGTTTCACCGTGTTAGCTGGGATGGTCTCGATCTCCTGACCTTGTGATCTGCCCACCTCGGCCTCTCAATCAGGTACTCTTTTATAGCAACGTAAAACAGACCAAGATGTAACCCATAAAAAGTAAGAAATCTTCTAAGAACAACCTATTTATGTTGAAAGACAGTAAAATGAAGACCAGAATTCTGGAGAATATAAATATTTAAGGAGTGAGCAGAGAAAAAGTAATACACTATGAAAACCAAAATAAGTGGTCAGAGAAACAGAGGACCAGGAGAAAAATACTCAAAAAAAAAAAAAAAAAAAAAAAAAGATGCTCAACACTATCAATTATAGCAGAAGCATTTAGCAAAATAAGGCCTAAGGAATACTTACTGCATTTGTAAATGTGCAGGTCACTAATGTCTTTAGCTAAAGCTGCCTCAGTGGTATATGCAAAGTCAGTGTCCAGCCAGTGATTTGAGGAGCAGATGGGCTTAATGAAACTATTCTAGGTCCCACCTGAATATACTGGGCTTCCCAGCCTATAACAGAGTAGATCTATTAGCAGCTCATTACTTGGAAATGTATTTTTAGTCTGACTTCCTTTAATTATTATAAAATTTCAAAATAACTCAGTGAGGCTATTGGATAAAGAATAGAGCATAGGAGAAATGCTCCTGAAATAACACTTTTATGACAAGAATCAGAATTGGAAGGATAAAGGAGAGTTCCTTTCAGGCCTGACATAAAGACTCCTTCTAAAAACATTAAAATATGGGAACCCTGCAGAATCCATTTTGCATTTGTCTTTTCCCCTGTATCATTGCTAATGAATATGTCTTAGATTGTCAACCATGAGAAAGAAAGCATTTTCATTTCCACAGCATGTCATTCGCCTGACAGTGGTGGTGTCTTCTTTGTGTGTCATGGAACCTGTGACCTGTCACCTGATTGTCATGTTAGTTTATTAACATGTCAGGGCGTGCCACCCCTGGTTTCCACCTCAGAAAGGAAATTGCTTAGGGTGGGAGACATTCTGCTAGCCAGATAAGGCAGAGTTCTGCCAACTTTCAGTGCCAGGGAAACCCTAGACAGTAATCAGTACCAAACCTGACTATTAATAGGACCACCCAAAGGCACGTGGCTGGGAACCAAACCTCTCTCCTACCTTGGTCTGATCTATTGGCAAGTTTCCCTGCTAGATCCAGCTTTGCTCCCACATACATGGGGAGGAATTCAAAAACAGAAATTGTAAAGGAGGTAGGGCAGAAGGAATGGTTGGAAAGTGGGTCTCAGATGCTGGAAGGGTCATAAGGGAGAAGTTTCTGGTTAGTTACATCATGCAGGGCTTCAAACTTCAAAAAATGATAATTGATGGATGGAAGTCAAAGCTAAAGCCAAAGAAAGGCCTACACATGTTCAGAGATTTTGAGTTAGAAATTCTCTTTTTCCAGCTCTCTCTCCCACCCCCAAAAGTCACATGGGGAAAGCAAAGTAGTGATTAAGGAACTACAGGGGCAACAGCAGGCTATTCTCTGGGGCCTTCTAAATGCCAGGCCAAGCCTGCCGCCTGCTTGGGAGATGAGTATGTGCTCTCCTCCAAAACTTCCTCAAGTCTCCTCTCCTGACATCTTTCTGCCAGATGGTAGTTCGAATTCTCAAGGTGCTTGGCCCTCCTGGTTCCTACAACGTGAGCCAAGCCCAGAGAACTTTGGTCCATCAGTTTCCCCCTTGCTCCACCCCTCTTGCGAGCAGGACCTGGAACCTGGAGGTCAAGGAGAGGCTAGGAGTACCGACCTATGGCGCTCTGGGAAGGAGCTCCCAGCTTGTCCATGGGTGCCTTTGGGAGAGCATCAGCTCTGGCTAGGAGGGTTTCCGGAGGGCCTTCTCCAGCTGAAGCACGCCTTTTGTCGTTTATGAGGTGAACGCATTATCAGCTCTGACTTGAATTTCCCTGTAGGGTTATCCCGATATTTTAAAATTACAATCCAGACTCTTAACAAATTACGAATGTGTGTAAACATAATCAGAGTGTGGATGCAATCCACTTGTAATTGCTAATAGAAAAAAAGAAAAAGAAAAAAACCCACAAAGACTTAAACAAGCAAGAAAATCCGGGGAGGGGGGTTTGGGGGACGGGGGGCATCAGTTCTGCAGGGTGTTTGCCTTTGTGATTTGCTTCCTAGGGGACTCTCCCAACGCGTCGGCAGCCCACCCTGCCTCCGGACTCCCTGCGGTGATGTCGGGGCTAGAGGAATCCAGGGTTTGGTCCCTGCAGCTGAGGCCTACGGGATATCCCGGGAAAGAACAGCCTCTCACGGTGGTGAGGAGTCTCTCAAGCCTTCACGCTCTGTTCCCTCCCTCCGCCGAATTCTGAGAAAAGCACTGCGGAACGGCGGAAGAGGGCCCTGCTGCTTGCCTTGCGCTCCCCGGGGACCCCGACTAAGTCCCCGACGCCGCTCTTCCCTTTCCTTGAGGACCCTGGGACTCTGCTCCCGAGTTCCAGCTCCAAGGACTCAAGGACACTCTCCGTTCCTCACTTTTCAAAGGCCACCTCCTTTTCTAGAGGTGGGCTCCCCGACCTTGTGCTTCTAGAGCTGCGGGAGCGGCGCTGCACACGTCTAACAAGCCCGGCACATTGACGGGTGTTTGAGCTCTCAGTTCGAAAGACATTTGGGGAAAATACTGCACATAGAAATTTATATTATACATTACGTATATTATATAATATTATGTATATAGTTGATAAATAAGCAAATGTGTGCGGTGTTTTTCTTGAAACCGTTAGCATCCTAGTCGGTATTAGTGGTATTGGTTGATATTAACACGAATGACAAGTGGGTGATTTTCAAGAAGCGCCCGGTCCCTCCGAATATCATCGGAGACGTCTGCGTATGCCTCCGGATGCCCATCTATAAACTCTCTGGCTTGTGGCTATTCCTCACTCACCAACCATATTGACCATTCACCCGGATAAGGCAACTTCCTCGGAAGGGCGATCTGAGGACGCTGACCCCCTAAATGACTGAGGACGCTGGATCTTTAGGGCGAACATCGTGTCTTGGGGATGCCAAAAGTCCCCAGCCCTTACCCAGACCTTTATTACGAGGGGCAATTCGGTCTGTGTAGGGGACAAACAGCAACGTTAAAACGCAAGTGTGTAAATGAGGATGGAGAATGCGAAAGGAGGGAGAGGCAAGGAGCTGCTCCAATTCTAGGGAGGTTTTGGGGAGGCTGAGCCGCTCCAAGGACAAACCGCTGGGAAGGGAGAAACGGCCCACATCGAACTGCCCGGTGGAAACCTCTCTGCGCTATTAGATCGCGTCCAGTACAGCAGATGGCACGAGCACGTGCGGCGCTCGGCTTAGGCTCTCGGAGGCAGCTGAGTTGGAAATTCCGACGGAAGGCACCCACACACTCCCACTCTGCGCTGGCCCACCCGCGTGCACGCCCACCCCCCACGCGCGTCCAGTTCACCCTAGCTCAGAAGCGCACAGATGTTTACAGCTTAGAGCCGGTAGCACTGGGGAGATCCAGCGACGTGCGCGGCGCACAGTGCTGCGCTGGCAGGGCTCTGGGCTCCCGGTCGGGGGTTCGAGCGGCCCAGGGATGGGAGTGGGGGTGGGGAGATTGGGGGGAGGGAGAAGGACTGCAGAAAGGAGGGGGGAGTGGGTGGACTAATGATGAAAAAGTCTCCTCCATCCCTGCTCCTTAATTAAATGCATGGAAAGAACCGAGGCGAGCACATCTGGTTTCAATCTGCAGCCCTTTGATGGCATCAAATGTTCTTTTCCCAGATCAGGGCTGGAAGTTCTGGGCTAACTATGGCCGTTTGGAGCCCAGAAACCATTTATACACACTCGTACCCTTCTTTCTCTCCAGTCAAGCCTCTTGGCTATAGGACGAAAAAAAAAAAAAAGTCTAGCAATCAAGGGAGTGCGGGAGTACGGATGCGTGTGTGTGTGTGCGCGCGCGCGTTTAAAGAACATAAAACGCCACAAATAAGCACTTAATATTTTACTTAGTCGTCATATAGTAACTCACTTCTAATGAGACTGTTAAAGCTCTTACCAAATTCCAACAGGTCATGAAAAAACTGCTCAGCACCTCTCTGTCTTCTGTCAAGTTAGGGCTCCGCAGACGGACGACAGAGGATTATCCGTAAACTTAAATGGGGGTTCCTCCGCCCCTCTCTGTCCTCCCGCCACCACAGCCAGGCCGGACGCAGAACCGCACGGAAGCCTCCCCCACTCCCGCCTCTGTGAGTGCTCCTGCCTGCTCCAAGGAATCTGGGCAGCGGGACCCTCTAGGTTTAGCGTCCTCGCCTGGGGAAGCAACCTTGGCCGTACCATAGAAGTTACAAAATTGGCAGGGGGTAGGGAGAAATATTATAATATATTTTTGGAGTCCTTTCCTCCAGCTTAATAAACACGTACATTTCTCATTGCCTAGCCCTGGTATTCCTAATGGCTGGGAAAGCCTCAAATAAACTCGGTGCCCTCTAGATCTCCCCAACCTGCCTTCAGTCCTTGCGAGAGGCGTAAGAGAGCTTCCCATTAGCATCCCTCTTGTTATTTTATTACATTATTTAATAGGCTCCCTCTACGGAACCAAAAGTAGCCTTAATATGCTTACTTTCTCCCTGTACTCCCCCCTAAAACTGTTAGAACAGCAGAAAATGTGTGTGTGTGTGTGTGTGTGTGTTTTAAAGGTGGTGGGGGAAGGCCGAAGGAGAAGAAAATTTGATTGTGATGGTGGTGGATTTTTTCCAAATTTCCCCACAGCCGTTATCAAAACATGCAAATGAGATTTTCCAACAGGATCTTAAACAAATCTGGAGGAGTTAATGCCGAAGCAAAATAATCCGCACGTTTGAAGTGACTGTGAGTTTCAGTTTGTCTTTTCTCCCGTGATATTATTGCAGGGGAATGATAATTAGACCTTTAGAAATCCAAAGGGGCTCTCTTGCTCTCTTCCCTCTCTCATTTCTCTTCTCTCGTTCTCTCTCTCTCTCTCTCTCCTTCCCTCTCTCTCTCCCTCCCTCCCTTCTTCTCTCCCTCCCTCTCTCTTGTTCCCTCCCTCTCCCTTTCTCTCTAACTCTGATGTTGGCAAAGGGGGTTTTCTTAATCAGACTGTTTTTTGGTCCCAGGGAAAGGAGGAAGAAGGAGATTGTGATGGAGAAAGGGGGTCTGTGAAACGTCAGGCACCGCACAAAGGCTTTGCCACGTAATTACAGGCTCCTATTAAGTCGAGATCTGCCCTCCCAGGGGTCTCCAATTTTCTTGTATTCCCTACAAAGCCTCCTCTGCATGCCAGTTTGTGCCTTTTGAAGTGCCAGAGAGCTTCTTGATCCAACTGAGAAGGAAAAAGGAGCCCAGCAAGAAGAGGGGGAGAGAGAGAAGGGAAAGGGGGGAACCCAACAGCACCCTCCGTCGGACTCTTGAAGCCTTTTTTTTTTTAATTCTTAATTTTTTTTTTTTTTTTTTTTTTTTTTACTCCTTACAAAAAGTAAAGTGAGAATCCTGCTCTCTAATACATCTGCAAGACATCACCCTCTCCTCCTGAAACTTTAGTCACTCCTGAGAATCCACAGGAGTGCAGAGAGGGGGGAACACGTTTTCTTGAAGATGTTTTAAAGCTGGAACAAGCCTTCTTCTGTTGGTGCTTGAACTCTTGCCTGGGAATAACTTTTTTAACCTTTGAAAAAAACCCTTCACTTTGATTCTTCTCTCCCACCCCTTCTTCTCTCTTCTTCTGTTTGCCTAACTCCCCCGCCCTGCTGGCCTCCGCTTTCCTTTCTCCCCCTTATTATTATTTTTAGTCTGTGCGTGTGGACACTTTTGGAGAGTTGGAAGGGATTTTTTTTCTCCTGACTTGAACATAGGGTGACTTTTTAATATTGTATTTTAGTGTGGATTATCTCTTTGGACCGCCCCGGACTTGGCCTCAGGAAAGCAACCAAGGCTGTGGAAGGCGGCTGGTGCAGAACGCTCTCCTCTACAGAAGGGGGTCCCCCGCCCTCTTTTCCACTTTTTTTTTTGGCCTTCCTCTCCTTCCCTCCCTCTTCCTCTCTCTCTCTCTCTCTCTCTCTCTCTCCACTACCCCCCTCTTTCTTCCCCACTCGGCTCCTCTCCCCCCTTGCGCCCACAGCGTTTGGTGTTGATTCGAGCGGGAAGAGAGGGGGGTGGGTGGGATCGGTGGGGGAGACCATGACCTCCAGCTACGGGCACGTTCTGGAGCGGCAACCGGCGCTGGGCGGCCGCTTGGACAGCCCGGGCAACCTCGACACTCTGCAGGCGAAAAAGAACTTCTCCGTCAGTCACCTGCTAGACCTGGAGGAAGCCGGGGACATGGTGGCGGCACAGGCGGACGAGAACGTGGGTGAGGCTGGCCGGAGCCTGCTGGAGTCGCCGGGACTCACCAGCGGCAGCGACACCCCGCAGCAGGACAGTGAGTGAGGGGCGCATGCCCACGGGGGTGTGTGCCCGGGACAGAGGGCGGGGACCGGTGTAGGGCAGCGAGAGCTCCTCCGCGGCCAGAAAGACTAGGTCCTGGTACCAGGATAGGTGGTGGCAGATTTCAAAGGAAGGGCCAGTTACAGGGGAAACCAGATGAGAAAAGCGGGTCTCCGTCGAGGGCATAGCCAAGGAGGACGCTGGAGAGAGGCTCCAAGGTCCGGGGACACTCCGAGGCCCTGCGGTCTTAGGCAGGAACTCTGTCCGCCGCGGACTCTCTTTACTTTGGTCAGGCACCGGCTCGGTTCATCCCGCACGCGGGGCGGCGGGACTGGGATGGGAAAAGGTCTTAGCGGGGTGCAAACTCAGAGAGCCAGCGCTGTTTGGGAAAGCAGCGGGTTAAAGATGCTGAGTCGGGTTCGAAGGGCTTCTCTCAGGCAGCGTATGAGGGCTTGTGGGAGGGCACCAGGCACAGGGAGCAGGACTTGACACTCCACGCGGGCACCGTAAGGCCGGGCGCGACTTGGAGGCCGCGAGAAAATGCCCGGCCCGAGACACTGGAGCTGCTCTCTGCCCCCTGCTGTTGCCTCTACAGCAAATGGGTTTGAGACTGGCAGAGTCAAAAGCCCGGCTGCCTCTGGAAAACTCAGTCCAAGCAAAGGGAATGTTCTTTACGGGTGAAACCTGAAATCCAGCCCCACATGATCCCGCACAGGCGAGCTGCATCTGGGAGGCGCGGGCTTCAGTGCGGAGGTCAGAGTCACTTTAGAGGAGCTCTCCCTATTGGCTCTTAAACGTCCAAAAAAGTCTAGTTTCCCTTCCCCATACTCACTGACCAACCTCGCGCCCCATGAAAATCTCGCTTCGCTAGTGCCTTAAAAAGAGATTGCAAATGTATCCCCATGTCCCCAAGCCTGTAACAGACCGGTCACCCTGTTCATCCCAGGTGACTTGTGGCCAGATATGTACAGATACTCCCTCTTCTCCTCGAGGTTGCAAGTGTCTGAACTTAGCTGTAAGTTCTCAAATGAGGCTGTTCACTTTCTATGTCAGTAGTTGCTGGTTACCATTTTGTCTTCAAATTTGGAAACCTTGGAACCAGGGGACCTGCCAGCATTCTATGATTTTCACAAAACATTGTCTATTTCAGACTCTCAAAGAATAGACATACAAGTCAAACTGGATGTAGAAACAACTGGAAACAGGGCCCGGGCACAGTGGTGGCCCAGCGGGCCACGCTAAAGCAAGCGGCAGAGAGAGCCTCTGGTGTGCTCAGGGCGCCCAGTCTTTACCCTGCTTCCTGAATTCCGGCCTGGGCGCCCCTGGGTGTTTTTAGCCAAAATAGGCCTAGGGCCGATCCACCTAATGTACTAGCAGACTGCTACAGGAACTGAATGAGGAAGTCTGGCCTGGACACCAGAGAAAGGTGGCCAACTCTGAGGAATGAAGAACCAGGTGTCCCCAAGTTGCGCATAAAGAGCTAGGCGCAGAGACAGAGACGTTCTATGTAGGGTTTGGGTTCTTGAGAGGCTGCTTCTGCTGCCGGCACCCGCAGCCTTACTTCAGTGTTTGCATAGGCACTCTTAGTTCTAACAACATGCACTGAGAAATACTATGATTGTTTTTAAACGTTTTACTAGGGAAAATGAAAAACGAAAAAAGTAGGGAGAGTCCAGGCGCGGTAGCTCACACCTGTAATCCCAGCACTTTGGGACCCCGAGGCGGGCAGATCACAAGGTCAGGAGTTTGAGACTAGCCTGATCAACGTGGTGAAGCCCCCTCTCCTAAAAATACAAAAATTAGGCGGGTGTAGTGCCGCGCTCCTGGAATCCCAGTTACTCAGCAGGTAGAGGCAGGAAAATCGCTTGAACCCGGGAAGCGGAGGTTGCAGTGAGCTGAGATAGTGCCACTGCACTCCAGCCTGGATGAAAGAGTGAGACTCAGTCTCAAAAAAAAAAAGGTAGAGAGAACAGCATTCGGTGTAGACCCCAGCTTCACCAATTCTGCAGGTCTGGTCGTTTCTGTTTTGCCAGGACGACTTATTAGTTGCGACATTTACCACTGTTCCGATACTAGAGGCTGGACCCACAACAGAAAACAGGAACACAAAGAAAATTCTGCTTAGAAGACCAGAGTGGAGCAGGAGAGACTAGATGCTGCTTTGCCCTATGAGGAGGCTGGAGGATGAGAAAACCAGGGCCAAGGCCAGCGGCCTCGGCCAGCCTGGGGAACAAGCCAGCTGTGATGGCCCTCAGATACTGCAGGGGAAGAGGGATACAAATTGTACAGGTTGTTTGGCTCTGAGTGGACGCCACTCCTGAGAAGGGAACACGGGATTCATCGTGGCCTTAGAGTGGGTATGGAGAGGGGCTGGCCCGAGGAAGCCAGCTATGGAGCGCCACCGAGCAGATTAGGGAGGCGACGCGCTGTGGCTGGGAGGCCGCCCTGGACTGGGGACTGGCTTCTGTGAGACCTGAGCCTGGCGCTTCAGAGGCCCTGTGGAGCACGTGGGCATCCTCAGGGGCGCTCGAGGACAAGCTCAGCATCGCGGGTGGAGTTGGGGACTGTATGTTCCGGGAGAAGGGAAGAAGTCTCTAGAAACTCGCCCACGTGATACTCGGGAGCATCTCAGAGTTACAATGACTAGAGAGGTCTTGTTGGGAGAAGACCCTGAAAGGAAACTGAGCTTCAGAAAGAGGATGCTCTGCGGAAGCATGATCAAGAGACAGCTTCGGGAGGAGGCCACAGAAGGCAGAGCGAGGTGATGGGGACGAAGTGACAGGCACCTGGAGCTAAGAAAGTAGCTGAGAAACACACACACACACACACACACACACACACACACACACACACACACACCCCAGGCCTTGCTTCCTAGAGAGATGAGGGTAGTGTTCTAATGAATAGTTTGTTGCTTTTATAAGCACTTTTCTCAACCTCTTTTTTCTCCGCTGGGATGAGAATGGGAGGGCCTGATGAGTCTTATGGCTTCCAGGGGGAACCCACATCCCTAGTTCTTGGGCTCCCATCAAGAGTTGCCAAGAAGGCTGTTGTGAGCTACTTGGAAATCAGGACCGCTGGGCCTCCAGCCTGCAGTGACAATGAGACTCAGACTGTGAATCAGGGAAGAGAGGAGTGTCACGGGAAAGGATGGCTAGAGCAGACTCTCCTCCACCCGCAAAGGGATTCAGGGATGGAACCGGGAGTCTAGCGCTCTTTGTATCCCGCTGAAAGTCTACTCCAGTGGGAAACCATTGTCTCCTTCAAAGAGATGGGGAACATTAAAAAGAAGCCTTTGACTCTTTTAGCTATATAGAAACAGTCCTTGTCCTTTCTAAATTTTCTCTTCAGCTGAAATTAGCAAAGCAAACTCCACTTACACCTTCAATATTAGGTTCTTAATTTTGCAAAATTCCTAACTACAACGAGGGCAGAATATAGTTAGAAGGAGTAGATATTGTCTAAAGTCAGGGTTTCTCCCAGACCCTCCCCACCCCGCTCACCATCAGCAATTCTGTCCCCACCCCCACCTTGGTTGACATTCACTACACTGTCCTCTCTGTAGAGTGCTTTCTTTCCCTTTTTACTGAGTCTCTGACTAGTAAATTTCTGGGCTCAAATACACTAAGTGTCCAAAGAAATAGTTCTTTAACATTGTTTGGAATCCAGTGGCTATTGGGAGAGTGTGGAGTGTGAATGGGGGTGGTGGCAGAACTTGGGTAATCAGGGAGAGGAAAGAGGAACAGGTCGTTAAAATAAGCAGACATACTCCAATGAGGACAGTGAATCCCGCTGTCATTTCTTAATCTGAACTTCTGCAAACTCTTTAAAAAAAATGCGCCTGCCTTCCACGTTTCCAACCTCTAAATTAGTGAAACCAGATTGTCCTAATAAGACCTTTTGTTGGAAACACATGTAGTCATAAAAAGGTAGACGGAAAGTCAATTAGACACGCGCGCACACACGCACACATTCACAAGCCGGTGCTAAGTGTGCACCCGGCGCAGCTGGCTCCCGGGCCGCGGCGGGATGCAAATGCAAAACAGCGACGCGGGAAATCGATTTGTCACAAAGGGAGAGGTGTAAACGCAGCGCAAAGGAATTGCCTGCCCAATCTACCAGCCACACTCTCCCAGGACCTTGCCCGTCAACTTCTCTTCGCCAGAGAAACTCCCAGGAATCGGGAACATTTTCTAGGGCTCTCCCAAGTTGGAATTCGCATCACAGTAATATCAACTTCTAGAGTCTCAGCGTTTGCAACAACCCTGGCGCCAGAAATTTTCTTATGCAGCACCATCCTGGGACTCGGGAGCCAGTGCTGGCAGTCTAAATTTGGGCTTCAATTATCTCGTTGAAGAGGGGAGCCAATGAAATATATCGTTTTAAGGTTAGCCTGGAAACTTTTCTCTTTAGAGGAAGAGAAGAAATACAGGATTAAGGTGCCTCACTGAGTCCCCAAAGTCGAATGTCAAGGCCGGTCAATAGGTGGTGATTTCGGTTTATTTTACAGGCAAAGGTAGGGGCCCGGGTGACCTTCTTCTCTTAGAATTTGGGGGAAATTGATAGTCCAGGGACTCCTTACCCAATTTTGGGTGAAGGACGACTTGGAATTTGAAGTGTGGGGAGATAGGCCTGTAAAGTCCGAAGCCCTAGGCTTCCAGTCCTCTCTGGGACTCCAGATCCCCCAACTCTGGAATGCAGTGAATTCCCACCCCCACGCTTCAGAGCACCTCTCCCATGCGTGAGGACCTCGTTCAGTCTTGCATTTTGGCTGAGAGACCTAACCCCGGTGCGCGCTCAGTTCAGAGCGCCAGGGAGTTAGGCAAACAGGAATGGGTCACACGGGTCCCTATAGTTCCTTCCTCTTCCCAGGAGTGTCATTTTAGATTTTACAACACGAGCGAATAAGTCATCTCCAAACCAACAAGATGTCACCTTCAGGCTCCCAGTTGGAAAAAAAAAAAAAAAAAAAAAAAAAAAAGTCCATTCAGAAGC